GCTTCTCTTCGATTATCGATATCATGGACTACCAGATGATATCGTATCAGATCGAGGAACCCAGTTCGTATCAAAGTTTTGGAGATCTCTCTTTGAGATACTGAAGGTGGATATCAAGCTTTCTTCGGCTTTTCATCATCAAACTGATGGTCAAACGGAACGAGTGAACCAAGTCTTGGAACAATACTTACGATGCAGCATCAACTATCAGCAAGACGATTGGACCACATATCTGCCGCTAGCTGAGTTTGCATATAACAACACCCTCCATGCGTGGACTCAATACACACCATTCTTTTCCAACTATGGATATCATCAAAAGCTTGATTTATTGAGTCCATCAACAAATAACAATCCAGCAGCTGAAGGATTTACGAAACAACTATCAGAGCTTCAAAATACGTTGAAGCTTCAATTACAATCCGCTCAAGAATCCTACAAGACGTCTGCAGATAGATTTCGGAATCAAGCACCTACTTTCAAAATTGGAGATAAAGCATGGCTTCTTCGACGGAATATCAAGACCAAGTGACCATGTAATAAGTTGGACTATCAAAGATTGGGACCATTTATCATCCAAAAGCAAATCAATCCACTGGCGTACCGTCTGGAATTACCAGCTTCTATGAAAGTACATCCAATCTTTCATGTTTCTTTGTTGGAGCCTTATCGAGAGTCATTTTTTTTCTGGAAGAGTACAATGTCCGCCACCTAGTATTGAGATCGAGAACCACGAGGAATACGAGGTTGAAAAGGTGTTGGATTCTCGACGAAAGTGGAGCAAGTTGGAGTATCTTGTTCATTGGTGCAGCTACGACATTAATGAGCGAACGTGGAAGCCAGCTAAAAATCTCACCAATGCGCCGCAAAAGGTACAAGAGTTTCATCAACAACATCCTCATAAACCTAAGCCGGTTCGACAATAGCTTCTTTCTGAAGCTTGCTCACCCAAGAATATAAGAAAAGGAGAGAGCACCACCAAAATTCGTAGTTGATGTAGTTATTTTCTCCAAGATAAAATAGAATTTTTTAGGTAGCCATAGTTTGGTCTTCTGATATGGATAGCCAAGAGATAGATACTATGCCAGTCAAATTATCTCAACCAACTAGTTCACGAAGGCGACCCCGAGATGAAGAACCACCTGCACCACGACGACGACGGAGGATACCAAGTAACCGATCACTGGTGATTGTATTTGAGTCTGAGCCTGCTTACGATGGTCAACCAGAAGGCATATTTTTAGGACAATTTCACAATGAAGACACGGAAGTCATGCTTGGTCAGAAGTTGAAGGAGTGGGCCACTACCATTGGCTTCAAGGGCCGATGAACCACTTACCTCGTGAACAACAGTTGGAGTTCATAGCAGATGTTATGCGACAGATCTTCATTTTCTTGGCGTTGGTACTAATTGACAATAATATTGCTTCTCAGAGACCTCGAAGCTAAAGGAAGGGGTGATGTTAGGGACATAGTCCTTAGAACCTTCTAGAGACAAGTTTCTAGAACCTTCTAGAGAAAAGCTTCTAGAACCTTCTAGAAGCAAGGGTCTGGAACCTTCTAGAAGCTTCTTAGTTAGTAGAAGACGTTAGGGACATAGTCCTTAGAACCTTCTAGAGATAAGTTTCTAGAACCTTCTAGAAGCAAGTCTCTGGAACCTTCTAGAAGCTTCTTAGTTGGTAGAAGATGTTAGGGACATAGTCCTTAGAACCTTCTAAAGATAAGTTTCTAGAACCTTCTAGAAGCAAGTCTCTGGAACCTTCTAGAAGCTTCCTAGTTGGTAGAAGTTGCTTGAGAAGCTTCCTAAATAAGAGTATATATTGGGATCGAGGTTGAAGAGTTCTTCAGTCTCGACAACACATCTCTTGGAGCTCTAGCTCACCTCTCTAGTGTTGTTCTTGTATTCATCTGATTAATCTAGTTTTTGCCAATTCTTTTTGAACTTCTTAGTAGATATCAAGTCTGTATTCTGTGTCCGTGACAGATAATGATTTTTAATGGATAGTAATAGAAATTAAAGCATTTATAGTAAAAATTCTTCAAATGGAATCACATTAAAAAAGTTATTTTATAAACATGTCAACCTTTGCCATTTTTGTCAATAGGAGATAATTGTTTCTATGAATAATTCATAGTGAAAAAAGAAGAACATAGAAGTGTAAAGGCTTAATGATTGAAGTGATCAAAGGTATCTCTATAGAAGTAATAATTGATATTGAAGCATTCATTTTTAATGAATATGAAGTGAAGAAATAATTAAAACTAAAAAAATCAAAGAAAGATTTTTTTTTTTTTTATTGATATAAAAATCACAAATTAAAATAAGATATAAGGAATAAATTTTACTTATAAAAAAATATAACCAAAGAAAAAAAAACTAAAAATAAAACACTAGAAAAGATATAACCAAAAAAAATAAGAATTAAGAATTAGGACCAAGGGTTAAGGTTGAAGGTTAGGGGCTAAAGGTCGAGGATTATAGTTAAAGGCTAAGGATTGACTACAAAGACAAGAGGCAAGAGTCAATATAAGTTGATATAAGCAAATACAAGGTTAAGGATTGTGGAAGAAGAATGTAGGTTGAGGGCTATAAAGACTGATGCAAACTTATCCAAATTCATGCGAGTTGATGTGGACTAATGCTGTTATGGACATCCAAAAAGAATATTCTATAAGAACATTCTTTAAAGATTCATAAAGATTTCTTAAAGATTCTTTTAGAAGATTTTAGAATATTTTCAAAATATTCCAAAAGATTTTTAAAAAGATTTAGATAGTTGTAGAGGTTGCTTGAGAAGCTTCCTACCTAATAGTAATATCGGAGTTGAAACTGAGGGAATCTTTAATCTTAACAATACAACTTTTAGAGCTCTAGCTCACCTCTTTTGGTATTAAAACTCATCTAATTTAATCAAGTTTATGTTAGCTTTCTTGTTTAAACTCTTCTGTTCAACTTCTTGTTCAGTCTTTTGTATAGTGTATCTATAACATTTATCAAGACTGTAGGCATTAGATATTAAAACATAAATTGTAAGAAACTGAATTAGACTTTGCAACTCAAGCTAAGGCACAAACCTTTCTAAACAAATGTATACAAACCAAGGTATTGTTGACTCAAGGTATGAAATTCCATTGTAATCTCAAGTGTTAGGTCAACTCGTCTTTGAAAATGCTCTTCTCAAGTACTTGTACTTATGTTACAATTTATTCAATTCACCACATCTCTACTAGACCATTCTCTATTCTAAGTTGATTCACACACTTCCTTATTTTCTGGACAAAGGAGGCAAGGCAAAGAAATCTTCATCAACTACTTCAACAATGATGCTACTTGTACCAAAGAAAGCAACATTGCAACATGTCGGCATGCGTACAAAGAAAAGACACAAAGTTTTCAGAAATTTTAAAGCTAAGCAAGCAGTTATATATGAGACTAAAAGTGGCGTTGTTTGCTTGGAAATGGTCATACTTAAGATAAAAGTGAGATTGAAGGATGGTCATCATCTTTGATACAAATGAAAAATTCAAGACATCTACTCCATTGTCATGGAAATGTGTGGCTATTGAAGGTTGGCATTAATACACCAAATGCCAAGTAATTACTACAGCCACAAGACTGCCACATGATGTTAACTCTCAAAGTAGTTGCATGTACCATATTATGAACAATTTTGGAATTACATCTGACTAAGATGATCTTGATAAAGAATAGAACTAAATTCATTCTATGCAAAAATCAATACCAATTATATCTTTGTATTATAATTCTAAATTTTGGACTTGATTTCAAATGTTTGAATACCACAAATAGGTTGTCATACCCCAATGAGGTTTATTTAGAGCACTTTTTCATCAGAGCAATGACAAATATGTCAAATTGAAGTGTAAGCTCAACAACAAACCAATCAAGTGGCCAACAAGAATCTTGAATTGCAATCCACCACAAATTGGGAACAAAGGTGACAATTGCAAGCAGATCACAAATTAAGAGGTTTCAGCATTAGGAGGATGAGTTTAAAAGAACAAATCTTTTCAATATGTCATCACTCACCAAACCACATCCTTCAAATCACCGTCATCCCCAGGCTCTCTCGGATTCTGCAACCACCTCCATTATGCACCACAAAACCAAGGGTCTCCACCACTTCCAGTCAATTTGGCCTCTACTACTAGAGCCTTAATTACACCTAAAGTAACTTCCTCCAAAATCTTTTCTGTCACGTGTCAATTCGCGTCTTTGTCCTTCTGGGGAACATTTTGTGTAATTCCCATTCTTTGCTTTTGGAACAATACAAGCATGTTGACATCAACTCGCAAGTTGAAAAAGGTGAGAGCTTTGTGCTGCTGCGAATTGTTTCTTTACTAATTGGTTATCCACGATTCCTCTGCTAGGAGTCATGGTACTACGTATATGGAAGTACAAATAGTGTTGAATTGGAGTATTTCTAATTTGCATTTTATGGTTCGTCTTGATCGTTTTCGTCGTCCTCCTCATCAGATCCAAATTCCAAATCCGAGTTGACCTCGTCGTGAGAATCTGATACTTCATTACCCTGTTTTTTGTTAGCTGGTGTCTTCATGATGCTGCTCCCTCCTTCCATCTGAATTCAGTACCAACTCGATAAAACATTAGTTCCGGATAAGAGAACTTGTTTTCCTTTTTTCACAAATATTTTTTCAGACCCCAAAGTTCGGAGCTCATTTACGCAAAACAGTGTGCAAATACCAGCCAAGTTTCTAGAAGTTTTTCCTTGAATTTAATCGACTTGTGATACATGCTCTGAGCCCCACAAACCCACAAACGTACCGTCCTGAGTAGAGTCCTTCTGTCTCGTTCTCGCATGTTTTTGAGAGCCTGCACATTGAAGATCTTAGGTGTTATGTAATCATTATTTTTTTTTAAATGGCAGAAAAACTAAACCAAAAAGTTAACACAAAGAGAGGTAGTACAGCACATTACGTTTTCTAGTTGCTTTCGCTCCTCTTCTGCATCAACATTGCTGTAATCATAGGCATGTATGTCATTAGTTGTGGGATTAGATGCTTGTTAAACAAACGACATTGCGTAACCCAAGATGATCGGGTCGCTATTTATACCTTAACGATACTCAAGGTCCCAAATAGATCAAGAGCACGCAAGATACATTTTTAGGCGAACAGCCAAAATATCCAGCTCTTTTGAAAAGTAAAGCTCTAATAAAAAAGTTTATCGACATAGCATCCCTTCAATAACCAACTTCTGGCAGGCAAAAAGACCGAGGTTTACTACCTTCCAACAATAGTTTCTGCTGGGCGGCAGCATTTGGCACAAACGTTTCTATTTTTCGAGCATGCTGCAAGCAAATGACGAACACATTTGTCACGTATCTGAAGTATCCCCAGTTAATCCAGTTGCAAAACTGATTTCAGTTATTCGGAAAGTTCGGTACGGGTAAACTTACGTATGCAAATGGTATGGTGAGCTTGTCTTACTGCCCGTTTTCCACAATCGTTACTGTTCCAAAAGTGTACAGGGTATTTACGTTTTAGCTCAATTACCTAATCAAATAATGTTGTAATATCTCTCGATTGGTATATTACTAGTTACCTGTACAAGCTTTGTTATTCATAAATAGTAAATCGATTGCTTGCATCTGAGTCCGCTGCTCATAACAGTGAAACCACCGTATGGTCGCAGAGAAATACAGACGCTGATAAACGCAGTGACAGAATAGACATCTACAGACAAAGCAAAAAGGACAAGAGAAATTCATAACACCATTGGGCATTTTTCAAGGGGATACTTGCACTCTACCTGTGGTATCCTCAAGACTAGCCAGCATGAATAAGACGTAAGTGGTAGATAACACTCACCATTTGGCTGCCTCAGTTAGTGGCTTGTATTTACCATACCTAATGTTCACAATTAACATAGTCAGAGCCTAATATACGACAAAGAGAGAACAATACGAAACAAAAACAAGTAGCAAAAAATAAAAACAAAATCGTTTGAAGGGTGAAAGATGATACTATAATGTTGTAATCATGACATTGGACAAGGTTGAAGAACTAACGACATTCACGTTTACGCAATCCAATCAGCCTGAGCTATGAATAATAAGATAGCTAGAATAACGTCAACTCATATTGGCTGGCGGCCATGAGGAACATTACTTGCGTCGCCATTCTATTTGTTGTTTGCAGCGAGGGCACACTCCAGTAATGGCAGGATACGGGCGCTGTTTGCTTCCCACCTCCTGAAACATGAAGTACGAAGCAGTCATCAGCCCGCACAGCTGACAAGGCTAGTCTTTAAGCCGTAAATTCCATTGCAAATCGGTAATCCTCAAGGAAAAGCATCTACCATGTCGAGAATCAAAATTTCAATTTCATCCCTAGACTCTAAAACTTCCATTGGCGCAGTTACGCATTGTATGAATTCAGGTCAAGCACAGACTAGATGTCAGGAAGAAATGAAGAAGAATGAACCGGTCGCGTACGGTTTCATTTTTCTTAATCCCAGCGTTTGGTTTCCAAACCGTCCTGCAACCAACAATCATCCAGGTACGAGGATTACCCAATCAAAACAACAGTCAGAATATGAACTCGAGAAGAGACCAGAACTGCACCACGTACAGAGACCCAGCTTAGCGAAAAGGAAACAGCAACCAGATTGACTCACTTAAGGCAGTCAAGTCGTACAAGAACAGAGCACGATGTCAAAGGCAACATAAACTCAAAAATTGCATGAGAAGAAGCAAAGAGCAGCGGCTGAAAGTAAGAAGAAATCAGCCTTACTTGTTTTGATGCTTGGGAGGCCCCTTGGACACTCCTCCGCGGCAAGTGGACATCCTAGCACAGCGATGATGGACGCAGGGAAAGCGGAACACAACAATGTCAAGGAGCCCAGTGGGGTTGTGGTGAGGGGGGGCTGAGGCGCCATCGCCAGGCCCAAGGATCGAGTCGAGGGGCTTGTCTCCGTGGGATTACGGCCCAGGGTTTAGGGTTTCGGAGCCTCTGCAGAGGTGGAGCCCTGCTCCGAGGGTGTAACCGCGTCGCCTCCTGGGGACATCCCCCCCCCCCCCCCTATTTCCAAACCCACTGCTCCCTGCTCTTTACATATGGATTTGAATTTTATTTGAATCATGAAACATCCATTTCCAGATTTTTTTTTTAATTAATCAGCTGTAATTTAATATTTCTACATTGTTGTAGAAAAAAATTAAATCTAATTCTAAATGTGTCAATTGTAGTAGAATATTGAGAGAATAATGTAATATACACAGTATACATGTGTTTGTGTATATGAGTATCTATATATATATATATATATATATAAATATATTCCTCTAATATGTTTGTGTGATCTATAACTTATCAAGTTGACAAGGTAACTTTTTTGCTATTGAAATGATATAAGATTTGTTAATTGGATTGTTATCTCTCTTTGCAATCAACTCTGTATAAATTAATTTAAATAAATCGGACCAAATATGTTGTCGGAATTATTATCATTAAGCATATTATAAAACCATCAAACATATTAGGTCATTCACTGCTATTATTCTTGTTGTAGATCTAAATTTCATATTTTGATTTTCACGTCAGATTCAGTATCACTAACTCCAAATTTTAATATCAATGCTTTGAATTCATCAAAATGGTCCTTTTGTGTGAAAGAACGGAATTGTAGGATCCATTCAACTCTCAGTTACTTGTTTTAAGTCATAGACTAAAGACAAAGTATCAAAATCCATTGTACAAAAAGGCTTATATCAATTCCGTTTAATTTATCAAACATATAATTTATTTAATCTTCTAAAAACATGCCGTTAACTGATACAATTTCCAAACACAATATACGTCCAAATCCAACATTTTAATAAGATTCAAGTAACTTGGAAATTTCGTGACAGCATTTCCCTCTCAATAATCTTTGGACAGTGAAGAAGCTCAAGTACGTTTACTTATTTATTCTCTGGAAGTCCATACCCGAGATACTTGTCATATCAGAGGCAGCAGACTAAACCAGAACAGAGAAGTAGAGGAAGCTAACAGCGGTATCACAACAGCTCCTGTTAGAGCTTTCACTTGAGAGTGTCCAGGCTCACACGACCACTCTGGCGCATTCTACGAGAGCAGCCCTAGAAAATGATGATGCTTGACGAAGGCAAGTTTAGTTGGCAACTTGCAGAACCATATGCTTTGCAGCATCATCCTTCCATTAGATGCCTTTCCCTTGTATCCAGCCTCTGCTTAGGGTTCAACACGATTTACGGCACCAACACCAAATGCAAAACTACAGGGCAGGCTAGTTGAAGTAGGCTGCATAAAGAACTCTACGTAGGGTCCACCAAGAGGAGCAGAAGAGAACATGAGTGGACTGATTCTCTCCAACGTACATCATGTAATTCATATTAAGTGCAGAAAAACGTCTGTACAAAATCAGACCTTCAAATTATACTACATACTACATAATTTTATGCGATCAAAATCTAAAACTCAATTAATCCATCCCTAAAATGATGAGAACACGCTGTCGTTTACCGCCTCTCACTAATTCTCTCGGGAGATGGCTGGCCTGTTCGCTCCTCGTACAGCTTCTCAAGCTTCTGCAAAGTTCAGCAGGAGCAAGAATTTTAGAATCATGAACAGCGAACCATACCATGAGGAAATTCGAATGTATTCCCAGCTTCGGAGTACTCTTGATGCAACTATAAGGTGTGAAGACAACAGCAGGATATTTTTTTTAAATTACTTTTTAGTGGATTTCAGAAACCTCAATCTCTAAAATAAGGAAGATGCATATATAATGTCAAGGTGCTACTTTTAACACTTCAGATTATGGAATTGATTGATCTCAATATATGACCTTATGATGCTAGAATTTACCTCAAGCTCAGGTCGAATGGTGTCGAGCACTTCTGGAGTCATTCGATCAAAGTATAAAATTCCCTACAGTGGCACAAAACCGTGGCAGAGTATCAGATTCCTTATCAAGGCATACACCTCGGTAACGAACCATCTTAATATAAAGTAACAAATTCATTTGATGTACTTAGGGCGTGATTATATTTTGAATCAACAGATTGAATAATCAGTTGAAAGTTAACTTCAATTCAACTCACAGGAAGTGCTAAAAATCTAATCAATTTAGCAGTAAAAGATTCTAGAGAAGTCCTTTTCTTTCTGAGTAAGATTCTTATTATTACCTCAAGATGATCATATTCATGCTGGAAAATACGAGCCTGAAAGTCCTTCAAATTGATACTGAACTTCTTCCCCTTAATATCTTGAGCATCAATCCTCACTGATTTGGGCCTCTACAAAACCAAACAATCAGATTCCGTTCAGAAATACATACAAAACAAGTTCAACTTTGTGTAAGTTTCGAATAAATCATAGCTCAAATGCATCTGCGCCATTATCGATTGAGTACCTTGGTAATACCAGATCAAGGCAGAAATATTCCACTCATACCACACTGGAAACATTCCCGCTATTTACTAATGCTCATAGACAGAGAGAGAACACCTCTGACCTCAACTTCTGCCTCGATCGTCAGAGATTGATTAGGACCTCTCTCCAAGACTGGAAAGGAAAGGCAACCTTCATCAAAAAGATCCCGAGATTTTCCGTACTTCACAATACGAGGGTTCACTAATACATACTCTTTCCCGCTACCCCTTTCTCCAGAGGGGTTGTATACCATTAGTCTCACATTGACTCCCACTTGAGGTGCTGCCAGGCCAACACCGTCCGTTCTATGACGAGGTTCCAATCGGTATCAGTAACAGGATGATACAGCATATCAGCACATGTTGCAAAACAGAATCCAACTTCTCGACACATGGACCACTGTGTCTTTGACAGACTATATGTGTACCGAGAAGCCTTGTGCCCTCTTGCTTTGAGGAATTAAATCTTACTTGTACATGACGTCAAGCATCTCGTTCACAAGCTGTTGAAGTTTATCATCAAAAACCTTGATAAATTTGTTCTTGGCTCGCAATCTTGGATCTGGATACAGGATTACTTCCAGCGGCGAGTCAAACTCTAGCGGACCAGCTGAACCAGGCAATAAATGAAACTCAGAAGATATGAAAGAGACAATGACGTAGAGATCCTCTTTTTTGTTATTACAAATGCTAAAAATCAAATGAAAAAGAGTAAAACACTTTGAGGGATATCCGTTGCAATCAGTGCAAAATTCATATTTCAGATTAAGATGTCACAAATGAAAAATTTCAAATTCAGATCTGCAGAAAAAAATCCCCGTGACATCACCCCGATTTAGGTGAAGTTCACAGAATACTATGGCAATAACGTACCTGCGTCTGCTTCCTCCTTAATGCTCTGAAGCTCCGCCAGCATATTCCTCCTAGCAGCAACTACGACAAGGGGCCGCCTAACCCCAAACCCTAACGTCCTCTCGACATCTCCATGGGGCCAAACCTTGTGTCCAGAAGCAATTCTAAAGCGAATGTTTTCATATCTATTCCTATTTCTCCCTTCTAAAGCACAAGCTAATACCACACGTTGTCCAAAGTTGGCGAGGGACGGTGAAGAAGTTTTATGAGACAGGGTGGCATGGAGTAACGAAGTGCAAGGTCTTAAGGACACTCCTAGCGTGCCTTGCATTTCTTCCTAATCTGTGCCACAAAACCCAAATTGATGCCCCGCTTCCTCAATCAAAGCGGACTTTTCTTATGTGTTTCAACCCACAGTCCACTACCAGTTACGAAGAAACCGGTATGTTGGGAATCCAACCTGGTCAAAGAGATGACATGAACTGATTAACAAGGGTACCCTGAACGAGGAGTCAGATTAAAATAACAATAATAGAGAAAGTTGTGAGGTCAATCTATATTTATATATATATATATATATATATATAGGAATTCACCAAAAACAAATCCAAATTTATGTCACAACAACCGACATAGAAAATGCAGTAAGGCTGGCTAGAAAAAACTTCCTAGAACATCAAAGTGAATACTGAACAATTGCTGACAACCCTTGGCGCTATGGCTATTACGACAGACTGACTTGATATCAAACTCAGACGAAAATTAAAATAGTGGTTAACAAAGAACTAAACTTCCGTCACAACCACAAGATTGCAACGATGGACCCACAGCAGTGGAGCAATAAAATAACACGTGAGCTCAAAGTAAACGAATGTGAAAGAAGGTTAAATACTACAAGCTCCGAATACAAATGAATTCGCAACAATGACAGTGGCGAATCTCACAACCCTGTGCTGGCAAATACTGAGTTTAAACAATCAAACACGTAAGCCAAATCCTCCACAGAATTCCAAACATACGGTGCATAGAACAACAGACAAAGGAGGAGAACCAATGATCCGTAAGATCACCAACAGGAAGCTCGAGGGGAGAAGAAAAGAAAATAAAACAAGAGGGGGGAGAGGTGGGTGGGGGGGGGGGGGGGGGCTGAGAAACCCTAGAAGAACCCATCAAAAGACAGAAAAGGGGAGGAAGGATCACAGAGGAATGAGAACTGAAGGCAATGATAGGCAATGCAAATGACAGGGCAAAGAGTGGATTACCGGAGAGGGAAGGAGTGACATACAACGGAGAAGAGACGGTGGTGGTAATGGTGGTACAAGGGGAGTGAGGGAGGTAGGGGAGGGGGAGGAGGATGCGAAGCAAGGCAGGCAGGCAGGCAGGCCAGGGAGTGAGGGAGAGCAGGTGGGTTGGTGTGCAAGAGGAAACGGGGAGGCGAGGGAGTGACGTGAGGTGCGGTGAGGCAGCAGGGAGGGGAGGGGGGTGAGGAGTGGCGAGCATGTGCCCAGGTCAAGCAGCGCAGATGATGATAGATACGAAGCCCCCCACGTCCCCATGTCTGTGAGTGTGTGTGTGTGTCAATGCAAAAAGGCGTTATTATTCCTCCGAACTGTTCTACTCCGAATAATAACACCATTGCACCCTTTTCTTTCTTGTAGAGCATGGATGGATCCATAGTTAGTGCCAAACTTCCACTCACTCAATCTTACTCCTCTCCATGGACCCGACTCACCTTTTTTGCTGCATCTTTCAGATTCTCGTGATTTTTGTGCAATTCTTGTTTTTTTGTCACATGGTTTTTATGTGAAGGGATTTTTGTATCATTTTGGATATCTGAATCACAATTACTGCTTACTCAGAATATTCGTGCTTTGTATCAACTAAACAATAGATTTATCAGATTATATGTTTACATGAATCAGGTAAAATGTTTTTAAATTTGTGCTGATCGAAACTAAAGTAGATGTTGAACCCAAAAAAATTATAATTTATTTTAGAAAACTAGATTTTTAAATTGTTTACAGTATTCACTATCTGTTTAACAACAACATATAAAAAAAATAAAAATAAAAAAAGTCATTCAAAAGGTCTTCAAAACTAGATTTATGCGCTGTAATGATTATAAAAACTGAACATGATATCAAATATTATTATAATAATATATTTACACAAGTTCTTGAGCTTCCTGTACCATTCAAATTCCATATTTTTTTTCATTTTTTCATGTTTTTTTTTAATAATGATTAAAATAAAAATTAAACAATTCTCATAGCTCTTATATCACTTAAAATGGCAAGAAATTTTTTGAAGGCTCAAGGAGGACTGCAATTTTATTGGTAACTCCAAAAGTTTGGTCCAACAATCAAATGTTCAGTAAGTATTTCAAAAGTTTGGTCCAACAAGTTTCAAATTAGAATTAAACTTTTGGAGTTACTTGAAACAGTGAAATGTTCAGTAAATATTTCAACATAATATTGATTTGATGAAGAATATGGTTAGATTTTCACTTATCCTCTTTGGTAAAAGCAGTGCAGCATGGTTTACACTTTTATCTGAGTTATAGTAAGTTTACAAATTAGAAACAATACAATTATTTTTATTATATTATTTTTCAGCACCACACCCAATAATACTTTACTGGGTTGTGTAATGTAAATCTTCTTGTGAGAATTTTCTCCAGAGTTATTGCACTGTAATTTTACCTGTATTCATCTGAAATTCGTTAGTTGAAATGACAGTTGCAACCCTCCCAACCCAATATCTTTGTGCCATTCCGCACTCACCTTCATCTTGTTCCCATTCTAAAAAATATTTTGAGAAATACTCTTAAATTGAAAATATAATAAGATTTTCATAACTTAATTTTAATATTTTACAGATTATTGTTATTTTTATATATTTTTTAATTGTTGTTATTGGTTTTAAGTTTATGTGCGGCAGCGCCACTATTTTCCAAAAGAGCTGAAGAAGGAGAATGGCAATATGAGGCGGTGTGGCGATTGGTAGGGCTGCCTTCGTTAATTCATTCATGCAGTCGCAGTTTGTGGCCATCTGTGAGTGAAATCCTCTTATTCTACTTCTTGTAGGCTCTTCCTCTTCCCATTTGCATTGAATCTGTGCCTTGTCAGGCAGACTCCGCTTCATAGCATCGATGCTGACATCGACGCGCCCTCACTATTCAACAATGACCGTCTTCATTCTTGTCCTTGTGCTGCTGCTCCTGGTTTGTTGCAGAAGTCCTAAGCCTGTTCTACCACATCAGTGTCCAAGCAAATGTGATCGTCTTTTTTAATCACGAACCTTTCTCCGCTTCACTCTTGCAGTCACGCATTTCGGCATCTTCCCCGATCGTCTCTGCCAACTGGAGGAGGGAATATCTTCATCAGGGATGCTCCAGGACATTCCAAAAGTTTCATGCTGCAAGAATCTCTCTACGACGGTCAAAAGGTGGGAGTGTAGACCATGAATTCAACAGAAGTGCTTGATCAATTCCTTTCCTAACGTCTCATATTCCACCTCAGAGATTGTTACCTATTTACATTGAGACAAACTACGCTGGTTCACTTAAGTGCCCAATCAAGTATTACTTTCACTTGCATGGTTTTCAGCATGTCATAGTTACTGCTCACCTGCACTAGGAACTCTTCATCTCTTGTTATCACTCTTGACCAAGCAGTGTTTGAGTGATGTTGAGCTTCAATCCAAATCGAGACGAAGACTAAGAAGAGGCCATGCGATACCCAGCATTGTATCAGTAAACCACTGCACCACAATTTATCTTCCCAATCAATAGTTGCCGCAAAACGGAACTGACGATCTAAAATTAGCAAACTTGCCACCGATCAGATTATGTTATTCAATCCAGTGAAAAAACTTGTACGAAATCAATTCATTAAACAAAATTGGAATCGTTAAACTGACCACCAGGCGAGAAAAATTTCTACAACGTTCGGCTACTTCCTCACCCTGGTCCTAGATTGAATTACGATTCCAATCGTCAGTACCGACGCAGAAACTTCAACTACTAAGGCCTATTTCTGTTTATTCCATTGATTGAATGTACGGCACCACGAGATATGTATATATATATATATATATATGTATGTATTCTCTACAGTTAAGATAATAGGTAAACACGATAAACCAAAGCTTGGGGTTAGAGTTCAGAATGAATTCATAGTCTACATAGTGTAAGGGGTGGTGATGAAGCGCCGCTTGAGCAACTTGTAAAACTCCGACAACAGAAAGAACACAACCATGGTGATACCGACAAGGATCCACTCCCATGTCAGACCTTCCTGCTTGAAGATGCCGGTGTTGAGGACCGGTATGTACAGGGTGGGAACTGGCACGACAGCGCCCAAGAACACCGAGGCAACCATCAATTTGTTGGCGAAAAAGCGAGAACGGCCGCCTCCTTCCGTGGTGAACAGACTTGCTCGCAAGTGTCGGCAGTTGTAAGCGTGAAATAGGATCATCCATGTGAATGCCATTTGCACAGTCGCCCTAGCGCGGAAGACGGTCACGCAAGCTCCCAGATTCGATGAAGTATTGCACTGACTGCCAAGGTCGCCATTCCCGAATGCGTAGATAACAAGCACCCAATTCAGAAGGGCCAAGACGCCGGTGAAGGTACCGTAAACGAGGATGTCAGCGATGAGCTCATTCGTGAATAGTCCCTTGAGATATGGTCGTACTTGCATGACTGTGGAGGAGGCACGCTCAATTCCCAATGCCATGGCGGGTGGCGTGCCCGTAATAAGATTCAGGAATAGAATCTGTACAGGGGATAGTGGAAACACTGACATTCCAGAGCCATCCTTGAACGCCAGCCCTCCGAGGAGCACAATGACCTGTCCAACATTAGTGCTCAGCAAATGCACAACGAATTTCTTGATGTTGGAAAATATTCGACGTCCCTCGGCCACGGCTTGAACAATTGTTGCGAAATTGTTGTCTGTAAGTACAATTTCGCTGCTTGTCTTGGCCACATCACTCCCAGCTCCCATGGCTATTCCCACGTCCGCTTTCTTCAAACTGGGCGCATCGTTCACTCCGTCTCCCGTCATAGCCGCATACTTCTTCCTCCTGTGCAGTGCGTCGATCATTCTCACCTTCGTTGATGGTGTGCACCTCGCAATCACCAGTGGAAGTTCGTCCAGTGCGTCCACCTCCTTCTCCGACAACGGGTCGAACTCCGTTGCCGTCATCACAGACGATGACATGGGCACCACATGGGCATCACCTTTCACTCCACGTTTCGATGTAGATCTCTTGGATGCGGACAGTGGCTCCAAGATGCCAACTTCCCTGGCGATGGACAGAGCCGTAGCTTTGTGATCTCCCGTGAGCATGTGGACAGTAATACCAGCTTGGTGACACTGACTCACAGATTCCTTGGACTCTATCCGAGGAGTGTCTCGGATTCCTACCAACCCTAGGAATGTCAAATTACTCTCAACATCCTCACGCTTCCATTTACACACCGGCTTGCCAATCGCTCGCTCAGATTCTTGTCTGTAGGCTATCACTAAAACCCTTAAACCCTGTTTCGCCATCTCCTCTTGTTGTACAGTCACATTCTTCATGAACTCACCGTCCTCGCTGATGTTCCTGAGGTTCCCCGTCCGTTCCATCACATCGTCGCAGATTGTCAGCACAACCTCTGCCCCCTTTGAATAAACTTCAAGCACGTCTTCGAGTTTTGTTAGGTAAACCATGCTCATCCGCTTGGTGTCGGAGCTGAAGGGGAACTCCTCAACCGGCTTCTTGGTCTTGCGCAGGATAGGCTTCCCCATCTGCATTTTGTACGCGAACACCTGCAGAGCAATCTCAGTTGGATCCCCCCACACGTTGCCCTCTGAAGCCTCAACGATGTTTGCCGTGTTGCATAACGCGCAGCACTCCACCAGCTTCCGGAAATTCAAGTCCTCGAGCGCTGTCTCTGTGGCGATAGCACGGCCCTGAGCCGAAATGTCGCCTTTGGTCTCGTATCCCTGGCCGGAGATGATGTACTCGGAGTCGTGTCCAGGGAACCAAACATTCGTCACCACCATCTTGCCCTGCGTCAAAGTGCCGGTCTTGTCTGAGCAGATGTTTGTCACCGCCTGCAGGGACTCTAAAGCTACCAGCTTCCGCACCAGTGCATGCTGCTTGGCCATCCGCCGTACGCCGAGAGCTTGCACAATGGTAATGACCGCGATAAGCCCCTCTGGGATGACACCAATTGCGAGGGCGATGGCGTAGATAATTATTTCCGTGTTAAAATCAAATTTGTTCACAGCAAAAACAATCAGTGCTAAGATGAGCGCGATCACCATCAGCACGTATGCCATCATGTTAAGCCTCCGCTGCAAGAGAGTCAATTGCGCAGGTGTTTCATTGATTGCGTTGGAAATCTTTCCAATCTCAGTGGACATCCCGGTGGATGCAACGATTGCTCGACCTCTTCCCTTCGCCACCGTGGTGCTCGAGTACACCATGTTGATGCGATCGCCAATCGAGACATCCTTGCCCAGAATTGGCTCTACGAGCTTGATCGAAGGTACAGATTCACCAGTGAGCAAAGCCTCGTCAACTTCAAGATTCAGGACCTCCATCAGTCGGCAGTCTGCAGGAATAATGTCGCCGACCTCGAAAGTCAGCACATCTCCTGGAACAACATCCGTACTGGAGATTCTTTGCTGAATACCCTCTCGGATGACCTTCGCCGACGGCGACGCCATCTTTCGCAAGGCATCCATGGTTTTCTCCGCGCGATACTCTTGCATGAATCCAACGATGGTGTTGAATGCAATCACTAGCACCAACACTCCTCCTTCGCCGTAGTCTTTTACGGCGAAAGACACCACCATAGCGATTGTCAGCACGGCCGTCAGGCCGTTGGCCACTTGCGCAAGCAAAATTTTCCATGGGTTCACTGCCCCCTGACCCTTGAGCTCGTTGCGACCGTACTGCTTCAGCAATCGCTCAGCTTTGGCATTCGAGAGCCCCAACTCCGAATTGCTGTCTAGAACCTTGATAACTTCCTCGAAGGACTTGCTATGGTTTGAGCATGATTCGTCGCATGGTACCTCCATCAACTCTCGGATGTCGACCATCTACTGTGATTCCAAAATTCTCAGTCTGAGAGTCCTCTATCTCGGAGGCAGAGTCCTGCTACAGACTGTCAAGTTCTTCCATTGCGATCCAAGCGCCTTTATATTGAGGGCACAAGCGGTGTGCGCTTTTTTCAGAAAGTAAAAAATCCGACGGCAGTTCTTGAAATCCATAATTCTGAGAGTGTCGATCGTGCATGTGAATTGAATCTTGATGTTGCAACAGTAAAGAAGTCTATGCCACTCTGCATAGTGATACTTTAGCATGTATTAGTGCAATAAATTGAGTTTCAGAAATAAGAGAATACAGTGTTTCAAAATTAGTGCATGACGACTTACTATAACTTGTTGATTCATATCTTTTGATAAAATTTCAATGTGCGGTGTATGAAAACTTCTCAACCCATATTCGACTAGAAATCGTCAAAGAATTATCTTCATAGATTTTTGTTACATATTTTGAAACGTGTACAGGATAACTTCAAATCAGACGAAGTGCTGCGATTCTGTAATCACATGGACCTCGAAACTGTAGAGACACATTGGAAACATCTACAAAAACTAGTTTACTTTAGTGTCTGGTCAAAAGTGAATAAAGTATGGGTCAAAAGCGTCGAAATGCGTTACGAAGTAAATCGAAGTTTTTTCATCCTTCAATGGTCGATGTCCACTTGGAGGGTCACTTGCGGCGCCGGCGCAACTTTGGAAAACATTTACCGCCTTGTGTCGATGTGGCCTGCCTACCACCAAATTTCAGAAACACTGCTGTGATACCACTACCTGTTGCAGTGGGAACTTTCACACATCTTTGTCATACCTTCCAATTTTCAGGCCTGCGTTTGATTTTCCTCCACCTACTAAGTTCTATCGATCACTACCCTGATTCCTGTCCCCTGTGGCCGACAGATGGGAACTCCTGATGAGCATCTCCATGGTTCTGTTCGGTGAAGAATGAGGTTCATTTACTGATTTTATCGTATCATGCGACGAATTTTCAACTTTCCAACAACCCGGAATTACATTTACGAGGTTGGCGATAGAGGGAATCAGAGAAGCACATAATTGGATATACCTCTGTTGTTGGTAATTGCACAGAATGCACCTAGGACAGGTCATAGCCGACTTGGAATGCCGTGGTATGGAACTCCTGATGTAATAAATAGCAAATTTCGGACGTGGAAGGTGGACCGCACTGCGGGTAAAGGCGTCTGGAATCTGGAATTTTCGGCGATAGGGTGGGGGCGAGTCTATGGTGGGTGTGGGCGAGCTGCGGTTGTTGTGGTTAACCAGGAAATATTTCGTATACGAAACACCTCTAACAAGTGGGTCGGTGATCGCTCGGCGGGTGTGTTGTCGCAGCAGGAGCTTCCACTTCACCAGCACCGCAAAGCGACTGTCGAGGAACAACTGCGATAATCGAATCGTCCTCGTCCTTGTCCTCGTCTCACCCGGGGGGTAATTCCATCGCACTTTTCCGTCATTGCCCTCCTCCAGCATTGCAAACTGATCACACACTTTCACCGCATTTCTACGTGTTACCCAGGTACAAGGCCCCATCGATACAGAAAGCAATGGCATAGTTCAAGGGCATGGAATAAATTCAAGGTGACCATTACTGCCGCACATTCCGTAGCTATTGTGATATTTATTGGTACATAGTTTGACAACCCGCATTGACTGATTCCTCTATGATGCAAAAATAGGGTTGTCCTTTAGAAACTGAAATTTCGGATTGGGATGAGAATGCTTTCATATATATGCTCAGCCCCTTGACCTGTTTTTTTAGAATTTTCACAATGTTTTGACAGTATTCAACTAGGTCATGAACTGTTTATCATGATTATTATTTATTTGTTTACACCTGCATCATAAAAGATAAGAAGAGCTTCAAGTGCAAGATAAGTGATAATACTCAAGAACTTACAAAAAAAAATATAAAGAAATCATAAACTATATATATCTTAAAAGTATATCAAAAATAAAAATCCTAATTGAACCCTAATCAAATCCTAATGTAATCTTCAACAAATTCTAATAAAACTCTAAATCAATCTCAATCTAATCTTAATAAAATCCTAAATTATAAATAAATCCTAATCAAATCTTAAAAAATCTTAATCAAATTCTAGACAAATTCTAAATCTTAACCTTAATCTAAATCTTAATCAAACTCTAAATCCTAATCTTCTACTAAACCCCAATGAAATCCTAAATTCTAAACAAATCCTATCAAATCCTAAATAAATTTTAATTAAAATTTAAATAAACCTTAATCAAATCTTAGACAAATCTTAATCAAATTCTAAATCCTAATCCTAGATCAAATCCAAATCAAATCCTAAATCCTAACCTTAGACCAAATCCTATTCAAATTTTATTTGAAACCTTAATAAATATTAATTGAACTATAGAACTTGACTAAAATTCCACCTAGACTTCAACCAACAAACAATTAACAAGCTTACAAAATTTGAGAAGAATCGAACCTACCAATTGCAAAAAAAACTTCCAAAACTTATCAATCATTGGCTACTTTCCTTCTCTGATTTGAATGTTGATCTTTCAATACCAATTTCTCCTTGTTGAAGCATTTAATTGCTTCAAAAATTGAATTATGTATATATATTTAAGTCTTAATTTCTTTCATCAAATTTTACTTGAATCCAACTAGTGAATATTGCTAGATATTAGAATCGCCCACTGATCCTACATCTCAAATTTTCAAGACTATAACTCACAAAAATCCTCATATGTTTTCATCTAATTGCTTGATTGACCTCAAATTTTTGACACATATTCAAAACAAGCTCAAAAACAAATTTCTCAATTTTCACCTATACACAAGCTACAAAACTTAAGAAATCATCAAATTTATAAACATATTTTTATTTCTCAAAATCTAAATCCATTGAGTACATCACTAACTTTGAAAATCATTCAAAATCTCAATATTAATCCAAATGACATGAAACTAATACTCAAAAATCTTTTCTCAAGTTTTCTTTCAAATTTTATTCTTTGATTTATATAAAAAAACCTTAGAGTCATTGTAGGTGATTGGTTTTGTGCCTTAGGATTTGATTTTGACCTTGGTTGGCAACTGGTCTTCTCTAAATATCAATTCTTGTCTTTTTGAGGTAATTTTTATTAAAATTAACTCTTAAATTCTTCTTATATATAACTATATTATTTGATTTTTTAGTCTATTTTATTTTGCCTAATTTATGGTTCTACAAAGTAAATAGAATCTATTTTAAAAAAAAGATAATTCTATCATTAATAGATTTTACTACGTGCTTATCATTTATCTATATTTTTCTATTATATATTTTTAATTAAACTCTTCTATAATAAAATACTTTCTTTTTTCTTTCACTTAATGGCTATATTACTACACAATAATATATTTCTTCTTGAATCATATAAGATAGTAAATATCTTAGAAAGAAGACAAATACTACCTCATCTTATAGAAGTAGATACTGATCAAGAATTTAAAGTAGAAGAAGTATTTGACTTAGAGCGACATTGAAATAGGTTAGAACATCTTCTTCATTGGCATGGATATGATGTTAATAAATGTACATAAAGGCCAGTAAAAATCTTGTAAATGTAATCAAAAGTGTTGATACGTTTTATCAACAACATCCATCAGAATCAAGATAAAGAATTGCAAATCTTTGCTTTAGAAGAAACAAGATCCAAAAAAGATAGCATTCTACCTTCTATCCTTGTTTGTGGTTTCTATGTATTTGTGGTACTAAGAAGATGGAGAACCAATATTTAGGAGATTCAATTTAAGATCTATTGTTTGTTGACTTATTCAATGAAATATTGTGATTGTCACAACCTTCAAGCCAACATATTATACAAATATATAAAAATTATTAGTAATAGAAATGAGGATCTTCAAGAATGACATATTCTTCTTTGAATAGATGGCAAGATACAATGCATTTCATATCATGATCTTGGAATAAACTCCCAATGTTTGGTGATTTTATTAGAAGTAGGAATGATTTGTGATGGTCTTGTAAATGTTTTGTTTAAAGGAAGTTACAAATGCCTTAACAATAATCATATAATAGGGTGATCTTTTTACTTTAGAATGAAACATTATTGATGGCTAAGAGGACCTATCAACGAGGTTTGAAAGAAACAAAGATCAGAGTATGTAGCAAATACAATTTGCCACATCTTAGACTTTCTCAATATATAATAACTGCTTGTTATAGAACTCAACCTTAGAAGGTGAGTAATGTCATAGACATATATATTTACCTAAATAAGAAGTGATAGGAAGAAAGTAAATATAGATAGATTTAATAATATCTTTTGGTGTAGCTTCTTAGAAGCTTTATAGATGTATATTTGACTTTATATATGTTTACAGTTGACTAATTGGTTAGAAATTTGGCAAAAAAGTTAGCCATGTGTCACACATGTGAATAACTTGTGATACAAGCTAATGATGTGGCATGCATATAAAAAACTTGTCTTGCAAGTTAAGACATGTATTTTGCAAATTACACATGTATTAGAAGTCCTATAGAATGTTGCCATGTAGCTAATGAAATTTATGTTGCAAAATTTAATATACTTTTGATACTAGAATAAACTTATTTTTTACTTTTTTTTGGTAAAAAAATTTATTTATTAAAGTTAAAGATGTGATAGATATTAATTATAAAAATGACATTTTTAACATATTTGATTCTTAAAATGGATTTTAAAAGTATAATTATTATGACTTCTTTTAGATCAATGAAGCTTGATTTTATTTTTTCTTTAATATGCAACAAGTACCAAGGACATGAATTTTAAAGAACTAAAAGATCAATAAATTCTTTTGTCACTCAAAAAAACTAAAAAATCACTCTAAGATAGTAGAATATTAAACTAGAATGGCTATTGCCAAAAATAAGAAGATTAAAAAGTCTAAAAATAAGACTAAAGTCTAGAAAGACATTGACAAGAATAAAGAAGATTTCACTCTTACCTTCATAAATATTATCTAAAAAAAAAAAACACAACAAATTCAAATTTTAGCCACATTTTAATTGCAACTATCTACTGATTTTTTTTTTTTTTTTTTTTTTTTTTTTTATAGATTTTTTGTTTCAAATTAGGTCTAAATAAGAATCACGCATTTTTAGGTAATATGAAAAAAAAAAAAAAATGGTTGTTAATAATTGAAAAACAAAGGCATGTGTAGACATCTCTACACATTATTCTCACTATTATTTTCAAAATAAAAAAACCATCCTTCATAGATTTTGGAAGTGCATCCAAGCTTGCAAAATTTGGAATTTAATTATATGCAGAATAATCTCATAACCTTATAAATAGAGGCCATGGAAGACCTTCATACAAATACTAAATTTATTTGGTACCAAAATTCTCCCTCAATTGAAGTGAATTAAGATTATATAGACCCTTATTAAAAGAGTGTGCATGTGGATCATTTGGATCCAAAAAAAAACACAATAATTTCAATTGAAAGTTTACAGTGATTTTAGAGTAAGAGAAGATATTTGATCTAATATCAAAGATTATAAATACATGACATATGACAATATACAAAAATAATCTTAAAACTCTCTACCCAATTAGAAGAATTGTTAAAATGATGTGATAGATTATGGATGGGAAAACAAATATTGGAGACTACAATAGACATGGAAATACATTAAAGTAACACACTTCTCCATAGTAACTATTTTATATATTCTTTGGATGGCTCATAACAAGATAGGTAGTAGGTTATAATGTATTATATCCATATTATTAGGCTTGCCTTGAATTAAGGCATCAAAGCTTCTATAATGATGTGTTTTTTAAATTAGAAAATTTTATTTAATTCAATTTTTTTGGTATTCTTTTATAATCAATATAATAGATGTATTTTACTTGTTTAAAATTAAAAATTAAAATCTAAATTATTTTGTATATATTTTAAATATAGTCATATTTATTTATTAAATTATGCATTTTTATGCTAAAAAAATAATATTTGACTTGTATTTTCAACAAATGAAAAATTAATTAAAATGATAAATAAATAACCTTTCAGAAGTTTAGGATAAAAATGTAATAATGCCATAAAACCATTAAAATTATATATGTTTTTTATAAATAAATTATAAATAGGAAGTTATAACATTGTCTTGTATTATCCCTAAGTATTTAAAATATTAATATAATCTTGGATTTTTAGTGTAAAATATTTATATTTATAAAACTTGGTATAGATTATATATCATTAAAAGTATTAAAAACATTAAGCGGTTAAATTCCTTCTATTTGGATGCTATTAAAATACTTATATACTCATTAGAATATTTTTATAATTATATTAGATCCGTCATTAACTTCTATTAAAAATACCATTATGCATCAATGTTTACTTAAAAAAAATAATAATAAGTTTTTATAATATTGGCATGAATTATTATTTGATAAATAAAATTAAATATTTATTTATCAGATAAATATATATATATATATATATATATATATTATAAAATTAAAGGACAATACATCTTTCTTTAAATAAATTTTTCAAATGTTAATTTGTAGTAGTGTTGGAATTAAAATTAAATATTAATATTTAAAGTTAAATACAAATATAAATATTATTTGTATATATATACTCGTTAAATCTAAATTCAATCATTTACAAAAGGAAAAATAGTTTGTTTCAATAGCCTTGAAGAATGAGCTTTTAAAAAAATTATGTCACTGTTAGAATCCTACTACTCTTCTTCAATTTTTTTGATTAAACGTGGACTTTAAATTTGATTCATTAGAAAACTTTTCTTTAATACATATCCAATATATTGCATTGAATGCTGATGAAAATTAGAAAGAATTTATAAGAGAAAATGTCAGTAGATCGTGTTAACATTTCCATATTGTTTATGAATTGATGAAACAAGATGAAAACTAACGTTTATGAACGTGTAAAAATATGTAGGAAGCATAACACCGTTCAACATTCTACTCAAGAAATTTCCAACTTTACACAATCATCATCATCAATTTACTGCAAAATATAGAAAGAATGCCTCACATGTTCAGGCAGAAAATGGTTTGAGTGCGTCCGAAGGCTGTAGTCACGGTGGTCTAAGTTTCAGCCACAGCAATTTACACCAAACTTCAATATTAAAGGAATCTATTGTTGTAAAGAGAACGAGTACCGGGAACTTTGTGAACATTGCTCAACAACCTCCCATTTACACACAACTGCCTAAGAGATCGATATCTGGGTCTTCAGGTAATCATAATATCCACCAATTCAATCATAATGCTACAAACATAACACATTACACAACATCAGGGACTAGCAACCATGATTTCAACAACCTGAATTTATCTTTCCAAATGTTCTTCTCCATACTTCTTACCATTTTAATACGCAAGATCAACTCAAAAACCTACTGTATGATTTTCAGAACCCATTACGTACAGAAAAATTGCATTTCATCTTGTAAAACAACCGTTCTTATATAGGAAGACCCGAAGAGACTGCCTACCAATTTCATAATCTTTTTACAAAACTCCAGAAGCATCATGAAAAGACTGCACTGGAATCGGCACATTTCCCTGGCTGTCTTAATCAGCTTGTTGGCAGTAAGGCTGTTAAGAACAATCCTGGGAACAGACGAAAGAAGAAGGGGGACAAAACACATGATGTGACCATTTGAAGGTATTAAATTGGGGAGTACCTAAACCAACAAATCGTTGCAGTGCGGTAGCAAACTTTGAGCTTCACAGACTAACCTATACAAACAGTCATACGTTATGTCACAGGCTCCTCGAGAGTAGCATTCACAAGGTCATTGATTCGAGGATAAGATGCTTTTTCATCGAGCTGGTTTTGCGCCCATATCAACATCTTCAGCAAACTTGGTAACTTTGGATCTGCAGTGAACATGTCAAAAATGAAAATGATTATTTGCCTATGCATTTTACTTCTCGCCAATAAAATGCAATATTGACAAAGGAATTGCCAACAAGCGATCAAAACTACTTTGAACTTTGTGAATATCACGCAACGATCCAACTATGAACAGCACAGAATGACCATCGTACTACTCATTTTCTAATAATCTAATCGTAAAAACAGATGACAAGATCATTGTTACCAAGAAAGGAAAACATTACCAAATGAAATAGGGGATAAAACAAGTTTAAAACGCAGAGAAACTGAATAAATTGCTATTTGTCAATGTCGGGAGACACGAGGATGACTTGACGTGCCAAAACTCTCCCCTATTTTCAAGCTGCTTTTCTACTCCTATAACTAGAAAACGTCCTAAACCAGAAAACTTGTGGAAAACTATTTTTTTGGTAACACTGGACATTGAATAAAGTGGTATACGATCACTAAATAATAGATCTCGAGCCAACACACGTACCATTACAACGCTCGATCGTCAAAGAAAAAATACCTTTTTCATGGCTTTGGCTTGTGAGGATAGCAGCATTTAATTCACTGGCTGTTTTTTGACGCTGTGCATTGTCGAGGAGTTCTTTCACCTCCTTCACCGGGCAGGTCGAAGCATCATCAAAAGCCAAGAGAGCAACAGTGCGTTCCAGCTCTTCCAAAAATGCATGCTGTTCATAAGAGAGTCGGTACTCAATTAGCAACTTTGAATTTCCAACAAAACCAATTGAGGTAGTTGAACTATTTCAGCATGAGCGTGATAAAATGAGGTGCTTGTAATCTAAATAACCTATGAAATAGAGAAAGAAAGTGCGCAGAGTTCAATTGCCGACTGAAAAAAATGCATCTACAATCAAAATATGTTAAGAACCATGCGTGAAAATCCTGATGCGCTGAAATCTCAACAACAAAGTGTTGCGTGTACCCCAAAGTAAGGGTCATTCTGAATAAAGCAGTAGATACTATTACTCGTTCGAAACTTAGGAAAAGCGTATGCAGAGCCTATGCTGAAAACTTGGGAAACGCAACTTTCTCTATACAAGATTCACAACGCACAGGAATTCAGTGTACCAGTATGACGTACATTCTCTTCGCCCCGTGGAGCTAGCTCTTCTTGAGCAAACTCTAAAGCTTCCTCTACTTTGCCCGCGCGAATCAATTCAATAAGCCGCTGCTGTTGCAGGTGGAAGAATAGCTGTGGATTGGTGTCAAGAATCTGTTTAAACCATACCATCACAAATAAGTCAGTGCATAGATTGCTTGCATGTTAAGCTTCACAAAGAAGACTAATAGTAATATAAATAGCAATGATGATGATGAGGAGGAGGAGGAGGACGAGGAGGATTTGTATATCAGCACTGATGTGGCAATTGAGTGTTGTTTGAGTACAAAATGGACAAGATGAAAAGCTCGTATGGACACTTGACGTTAATATTTGTCAGGACGCCAATATCTCCTTTAAGTCTTCTTTGCAGGAAGACATAAAGTTCCCTGAGCCGAAGTAACACGCTGGTTAACATGCTATTAGGCTAATAACATTAAGGGTGAAGTCAAACTGTTATGTACGAACCTCAGGATTCAAGTCATTGACTTTGTCGATAGCATCTTCCACCTGTCCACACTGTACAGCCTTTCGAACAGCCATGCGGTCAGTAATGGTGCCAAGATCTATGTCTGCTGTTCCTCGCTAAGGAATTGGACCAGCCCACTGTAAGAGAATTTCAGAATGAGTAACACAACCCTTTAATTTCACTGATCATTAGCATCATTCGTTCAGATGCAAATGATCGTAATTATACATTACTGGTTCAAGTAACAGTAATATCTCCCATGCACCAACTGCCACTGGCAACATCGCGATCCTACAAACAAATGCTAATGCCATTCGTATATCTCCTACTTGTTCGAGAATCAGCGATGGCCCAGAAATAAAACACAACAGCGACAGTTCTCAATCGGTTATTGTTACGATGGAGGTAATGAAATAAACGCAAGAACTGCAGAGGATACGTTGAGTCCCAGACTCGTGCTGAAATTTCTCAGCTGCCTCGACATACCCTTCGGTGACCAAAAAATTCATTACGAGTCTGTTCATGTCTTCCTTTCGAATCTTGACCTCGCTCAGTTTCTTCTCCCATTCTTCTTTGGTGATCACTTTCTTTGACGATGACTGCATCACACCACCATAAACAACCTCCGTTTAGCTGCACTGTCTTGAACTATTTGCGGTAGCCGGTCCAGAAACCACTTCCTAGCCGTAAAATAGGGTGTAATGAGGCACTCTTCAAAATGTTAATAAGCACAAACGAGAAGCTGTGACTGTAGATGCAAATAAATGCACGCGCCGACCCCAACTGTGCATGATCATCGAGTCAGGGAAGCTTCAATATACTTTCGTCATACTTACACCATCATATGGACTGTACTAATGTTTCGCACAGGTAATATTCAAAAGTGAGACCAATATCAAAAGCTATGACAAAGCCCTCAAAAATAAAGGATGAATGAATAATTTAAGTGAGCTAATTATGTAATCTCTTGACTACATATGGAAAAAAATGCAGTGAAGAACTGTAGATGACAGTACCACACCTAGCAAGAATGAACAACGAGGAAGAGCGCCAAATTCTACTGGGTACTGGCGCATAACATGTACTTAACAAAGTCAACAGACATTTCAACGCAATCCGCAACTATTGCAGAAAATCTTTCAAGAAACATGGAAAGTAAGAAGGCCACGGTTTTCGGGATTATCGTGTAGAGTGTCAATTTTAGGGATCAGTAGAGTGTCTTCGTGAAGAGGGTCACTTCGCAAATCCTGAAGAGGAAATGCATACTTGGGGATCGTAACCACTTCCTCAAGAGTCAAACATAATCATGCAAATCGCAATGGATGGCTAGCAATGGCCTCGTCTGAGAAGATTGAATTCCTAGACCAGACCATTCGAGGATGTAAAATCTGGTAAGAACGCAGAGCCATTTCCGACATCACTAGTAGGGATAGTGATTAGAACAGGGATATCTAGATTGCCTCGCCTCCAAAAACCATCCAGAGCAACAATTTTATGCAGTAAGTCCATTGTATCAAGCATTCAAGGATTTCTAATGGATAGGATAGTGTAATGCAAAGTTGTGTGCCATCGACAGTGCCAGCGGAGAAAGAAGAGGGAAGGAAAGAACGCCATACCTCGCCTTTTCCCATGGCTAGAAGTAGTTGCTCGAAACCTTTTTCTCTCTCTTTCCCTCCTAATTGCACCTTTGGCACTACCTACACCCGCAATTTCACTGTCTCGAAGGGAAAGACGACGCGGACAGGCGATCAATACAGCTTCGACCTTTCCACCCGCGACAAACTCGCGACTAAGAAGAAACTCAACAATCTCGCATATACAGAAAAAATGTTCCGACAGATTGACACAATCGGCAATCGCTTACCAGAAAACAGGAAAATACAGGTCATGTAAACATAAAACTACTCAAAGCAGCGAAGTAGATCACTCAACAAGACAATTACAATTACAAAGGCGGCAGATTTCCAAAACAAGACATAATTAGGTCAAAATCAATTGAAGAGAGTACAATGCGAGAGAATTAATACACCGTTCTTTCATACAAAAGGATTCCAAACCCGTACAGAACAGGGGAGTATCATATGCTTGCAAGCAGGGCAAGCAACACACCATTGATGGCCTCCAAGGTCAGGGTCCGTTGAATCGCTAAAAAGAACGACACATCAAACTACTTCAACACCTACATCAGATAGGGAACAAATGGGAAGTGAACAAATGAAAACACAATTTCCTGCATCCGTAGCACCAGTGATGAGGGAGATTCTGCAGGATGAGAAGAAAGTCTACCAAAACTACTACCCTGGCGGGAATAACCTACGATTCCACAAAAAAGAACGTAGACAGAGAGCTCTCAATGGAGAGAGCCGAAATTCCACAATCCAGAAACGTAGTGCTAACTAAGGGGGGGATGTTAAATTAAATGACAGGAGGAGAAAAGACGCAGAAAAACCACAACTGCGATGCGATGGACACATTGAATGAATGCAAGCAAGCAAGCGGAGGACTTCGGTTTCATAACAAAAAGATGCGCGGCACGCAACCAATGCAAACAACACACACGCCCAGCACGGGCCGGGTTCACGTCCTCCGGGTGCCAATTCCACGTTGGAACTCCGTCGTGCAATTTATCATCCACTTTCATCCCGCTCGATTTCTAGGGAGCCTTCCCTTAAAATGGTTTCACAAGTGCATGGGTTAGAATGTTACAAAATGATGTGAAAAATCTTATGAAAATACTAGAAATACATCACTCAATATTTTTATTTTATATTAATTTTTAAATAAATATCAATTCGTAATTTTATTTAAAAAAAATACTCAAATTATGTGATCATTTACGATGGTTGCAATAACTTTAAAATGCAGCCCGTGTAAAATGTTGTCATGTTTTGTTTATTTTATTTTATTTCTTGTGCATGATAATCTTGCAATTGTGTAATTTATAGAAATATAATTAAAATATTGAAATATTATTATTTGCATTCGTAAAAAACTTATTTTTATCTGTTCTCATGGTTCAAATTACAAAGTGATTTCAATACAAGTATTAATCGAGTTTGCGACCTCCATCCTACATCCTTTAAAATCCGCTTTGAACGGTAAATTTTGCGTTTTGTTGAAGGATTTTAGGGTTTGTGTTGGCAGCTCGACGCGCGAGGTGTGGTGTGGAGGCGAAGCCAAGACGAGGAGAGAGTAGCGACAGCTGGGAGCCATGACCAAGCGTCTCCCGAATTTGATCGTGTGCAGGAAGCAGCAGCTCGGAACCGCAGTCGGCAGATTGTGTGCGAAATTCTGTTGGCAGTGTGACGATTGCGCTCCATACGTTCGCCCGTCGACGCCTGTGAGGGTTCGGGATGAGTGTAACCATGGGTCTTTTCAAGGGCAGTGCGGCATCTCTGGAGGCGTCAGCTTCTCGGGCGTTATTTTCGGCAAGGAGCTCGGTCAGCAAGAGAGGGATCGAGATTGTTTTCCTAAAATGTGAGCCGAGGAAGTCCGAAGACCAATTTGCTCTTTGAACAGAAAAAATAAGTTTTCAAGAAAAGAGAGCCATCGGGCAGGCGTGCTTGCATGGGAGCCGTGACCTTGGGTAGCTGCTTTGCGACGATTTTTTTTCCCGTGTGGTGGATGCACTGAAAAGGCAGCAGGTATTGGCAGTTTGACTTGCTGCATTTTGTTGTTGAGTGCTGGTTTCTTACTAGCCTGGAGGAGTCATATCGGATTAGTATAGTTTCCAAATGAATGATGTCGTAGGGTGGTGGTTGTAGCTTAATGCATGCACTATCAGTGTAAGGAGACCAAATTGACCACCGCCCGAACCATGTTTGTGTGACCTTTAAGATTCAAGCGAACATCTAATTGATTCGAGTTAGGTGACGTAGTTGGTACCCAATCGAAGTGGGTATCGCAGTTGGAGAGACATGAGAAGTGGTTTGGCTGGAGCGTGGAAACCAGGAACTGCGAAGCCTGTACCACAGGCAGTGGCAGTTGAGGATCTGAACGATGAGACGAGTTTTACCATTCACGCAAGTGTGCAAAAACAGAGGCATCAGTTGTCTGTATATAAGCAGAGGGATAACCTCCTTTATCTCGTGGAAAACCATGGCACCACCATTGTGGTCGCCGAGACTGGAAGTGGAAAGACTACTCAGATCCCGCAGCTTCTGGTGGAAGCTGGTTGGGCAGAAGGTGGCCGAACAATTGCGTGCACTCAGCCCCGCCAGATTGCAGCGCAGACGATTGCAGCGAGGGTGGCAGAGGAAATGCGGGTCACGCTAGGTACAAAGGTTGGGTATTCCGTTAGGTTCGACGAAGTTGCAACTCGTGGTGTGACTCAAATTAAGTACATGACAGATGGTGTATTGTTGAGGGAAATGATGTCGGACCCACTCCTCTCTTCCTACAGTGTCATCATGGTGGACGAAGCTCATGAAAGAAGTATAGCCACCGACATTCTTCTAGGACTTCTCAAAAAGATCATCAAGCGACGCCCCGATTTGCGTATAGTTGTTGCTTCGGCCACGATGGACATAAAAGCTTTCCATGATTTTTTTGATACAAGCAGAGAGAAGCTACAGAATTCAATTCATAGAGAGTCAGTGCCTAATCGAAGTCCAGCTGTTCTGTCGGTTGAAGGAAGGACACACTCTGTACTTATACATTACTGTGACAAGCCCGTTCAAGACTATGTTCGAACTGCAGTTTCAACGACAATAGCTATTCATAAGATCGAAGGGCCGGGTGACATCTTGGTGTTTCTCACTGGTCAAGATGATGTGAATGCAGCTGTACAAATGATCAGTGAAGAAGCGGAGAAGTTACCTCGGGCGCTGGTGGCTCTTCCTCTTTATGCAGGATTGCCTGCCTCTGATCAGGAGCTTGTCATGCGGCCTTCATTATCAGGACGACGGAAGGTCGTTTTGGCCACCAACATTGCGGAGACTTCTGTCACCTTACCAGGAATTGTTTATGTGATCGACAGTGGGTTTTCAAAACAAAAATTCTACAATCCCATCACGAATGTTGAAGCATTAGTTGCAGCCCCTATATCTCAAGCCTCAGCAGACCAAAGAGCGGGACGAGCAGGTCGTGAACGTCCGGGAAAATGCTTTCGCTTGTACACTGAAGATGCGCATGCGGCCATGAGGCCAGAAAGGTTGCCTGAGATTCAGAAAGGAAATCTTCTATCCACAATTCTTCAACTGAAAGCATTGGGAATAGACAATGTGATGCAGTTTGATTGGTTGGCACCACCTCCTGCAGAGTTAATGGTTAGGGCATTGGAGCTTCTATTTGCTCTCGGTGTAATGGATGGGCATGCAAAACTGACCTCACCTTTGGGGCATCAGGTTTCAGAGCTTCCACTTGATCCCATGTCAGCCAAGATGCTGCTCACTGCCGCTCAAACTGGTTGTCAGAAGGAGGGACTCACAATTGCAGCTGTATTGACGGTCCAAACGATTTGGGCATCTGGTAGAGAGAGAAAGGAGATGGATGAAGCTCGTGCACAGTTTGCAGTCGCTGAAGGGGATATGATTTCTTACTTGAATGTTTTTGAAGGATACTTGCACGTTAAGAACCGAAATCAGTGGTGCTATGAAAATTGTGTGAACTATCATGCTCTAGCGAAGGTTGCAAAAGTACGGTCCCAGCTCAGTACGTTATTGCAGCAGCTTGGGGGACCTAGACAACAGCAGCACGATGGAGATGTAAAGCTGGTTGCTAAGGCAGTCACAGCAGGTTTTTTTCCCAATGCTGCTCGTCTTGAGGCGGAAGGTGGAAATACATATCGTTCTTTAAGGGGTAATCAGGAACTATTCATCCATCCATCCTCTGTTTTATTCAGAGCTTCACCAAAGTGGGTGGTATTCCAGTCAATTATTTTCTTGGAACGGCATTATATGTGGAATGTCACAGCCATTAACCCAGCATGGCTTACAGAATTGGCCCCTCATTTTTACCAGCTCAAAGGTTGAATCAGGGATTGAAAGACCACCTGTAGGGTCATAGCGACATATTGATCTCAAAATCTAACCACCACGTAATTCAGCCTACTGTTCGACTAGAGCTAGGTATTCTTTTGATAACCTATGACCTGGAAATGTGTATTATTAAGGAGGGGTCAACCGGGTGCCTAATATCAATCGGTCACGATTTGACGTTGTTTGAATAGACTCCAGTTTGAACTTGAATGTAGTTGATCTAATATCAACAGAATGAAAGCACAGTGGGAATGTGGGAAGTTTGAACATCTTTTTTCCTTCGTTGTCTCAATAATGAGGTCTTCAATAGTGACATGTTTCCATTGTACTGATTCGTGCGTTTCGAAAGCATGACGGTTTGCTAATTAAACTGGAAAAATATTGGACAGTCTTGTGACTCCAGATTTACTCAGCATAGCTGATTCATGTTAACATTGCTTTTCTAGCAAAGAAATGGTTGCGTTTGAATTAGAAAATTGAAATCACTAAAATTTTAAATCACAACCGCCAGGAAGTTGAAGCTTTTAGTGATTTCAATTTTCTATTTCAGCATTTCTGCTCTTGCAAGCCAAATCCATCAAGATTGAGATTTTATTCTGTTCTCAATGTAGGTTTCATCTGTTCCGATAGGCTGTATTATAGTATCTTTGTGCTTTGCGATCCAGTTCATTTGGTCTTCTACTGGCCAACACACACTGGGGCAAGGTTTCCACATGTGCTGAAATCTTTGCAAGTTCTGCTGCGATGCATGCAGATGCCAAGTAATCAAGTTGAAGATATCAAAACGATGTTTGAAATACACAAGGACAGGGAAACCTTAAGTGATCCGTAGTGAGGTATGTGAATACCTCCTTAATCCACTTGTCTGTGGGTGTGTGAGAATTTTTTACTTTCTTTTTCTTTTTCTTTTTAAGTTTTAAACATAAGGAGATGTACTCCTTTGTTGATTGATGGAAATTTAGTACATCTTTTTAGCCCTTATTCAAGCCATTGACTCAAAGCATACCATGATAAGAGGGAATATAGTTCTATTGTATGGAGGTGTTTGGATTTAGTATCTCTAATATATTTGGTTAAATCCAAGACCTTTCAAAAAAATTTAGGAATTTTGGCTCATTTTAAGGTTTTTTGCACAATAAGATTTTATTATTTTTTTCCAGCAAGCTTATTTATAATCTATTAATATAAATTATACAACTTTTTTATTTTGTAGAGAGGTATTACATAGACTTGAGGGAACAAAGATCAAATCAATTAACAATGGACAATACATGGTTTAAATAGTAGCATAGGTGGCTGTGGTAATAACAAACATTCTACGAACAAAACCCTAACAAAAGGCAATTACAAAAGTTATGTATATATATATATATATATATATGGATTAAAGCATCGATGTTGTTTGCATTGGCATCTATTTGGCTAAGAGATTTGAGCTTTTTGTGTTTATTTTTCTAATCCATCATCTATTAGTATTTTAATGAATTTTAAAAATTAAAGAGACTTTTCAACATGAAAATAGATTAAATAATAGAATCAAGAATAGTATAATTACTACCTAAAATTTTAAAAACTAAATTAACTCTTATATTACTGCAAATAATCTAATTGCTTTTGTATTTTTAAATAATTTATTTTCTATAGTTAAAAACAGTCTTGTCCAAAATAAGTTTTGAAGAAGAAGCCTTCTTAAAAAAAAGTTGCCAAATTCTAATACTATTTATTGGTCTATGAATACTCAAGTTCGTGAAAATAATATATAAGATTACTTTTTTATTTTTCAAATTTAATATTATCTTACAGGATAAATTATAATTATTAATGTTTGATTGTGAACTTTTTAGAAACATTATGGAGTTGTTTACATATAAACCAATAACAAGTTTATTTATAAATCATAGAAATCTTTTATTAAATACTTGATTGAAGGCCGATTTTGAGGATTAATTTTAAGATTTCTTTTATAATAAGAAAGATCCAAGAAAAAATTTAGCATCTTTTTGAAATTTCTTTTAAAATTAGAAAGATCAAAGAAAATAGTACATTTATAGTCAGTTGAGTTTTTATTCTTGAAAGCAATGTTTTTGTTATCTTGATGAACTAAAAGCCATATTTAAAAGCTTCTATGGCATTAAAAAATATACAAAATATTATCCAAGTGAAGATGTTAATTCCAGTTCTTACATCATGAAAGTTTTAAATTAGTTTTATAAGAACTTAACAAAAGCAATTTCTTTATCATATGTAGATTAATGTTTAAGTTTGAAAAATATTTTTAGAATATATAACATTTTTAGAGAATGTCTTGCATTCTTTTGCAAATTAGAGAACTATCGTTTAAAAACCAAATTCAATAGTTTGTTTCCTTAAAATTTGAATATGACTACAAATTATTCTAAATATTAAATTTTTAGCTTAAAAAATCTAAATTAACTTCAAAAAAATAAATATAATTTCTAAGTAAAAAAACATCTTAAATTTCTTTAAAATTTGAGAAATAATTCTTTAATAGTTATTTAGCCATCAATCTGAGCTAATTTTGGCACAATCAATGCAACAATTTTTTTAAAAACACCTAAGTCTTCTAAAGATCAAATTTTTTGAAAAAAAAATATAAAAAAATTATATCAATTTTTAGATAATAATCTTATTCAATGGCAATTTTTTCTAATTTTTAAAAATAATAATTAAAATAAAATAAAATAATAATTATTGCTATATTTTAAATTTATCTAAGATTATTGTAAAGAAAATTTCCTATTTTTCAAGAAGTGCTTTAACTCTTCAAAATATGCATCTACAACTTAAGTATTGAATTGACAATAGTGGTTTGATATTAGTAGTTATAACCATCTAATCTACCACCTCTAAACTTGAAGAAATCCCAATCATTTAACCTTCACACATCAATTTTTATGAGTATTGTTTAATTTATATTGAACCTTGTTATTATTTTTTAAAGTTTTATTTCGTATTCTATAAGATCCTGAAATGTGCATTGATTTGATATTTCGACTTTCTTTTGAATCTAGAACGAAATAAAAACCAACTAGAAAAGAACCTTGAGTTATAATCCTTGATTGGTTAGAAAAATATTGAAGAAGAAAGGGCAGGTGAGAATGTGTAAACAAGATGCATTAGACTTTTTAACCACCCTTACGGTGAAAAACTTCATGAATATATGGATAATTCTTTATATATGCAAATTGCTGCAGACCTCAATCAATCATCCACCGAAGGTAGTTACAGATAGTGTTCAAGTGTTTCCAACTAATTTTTTGATACAATTGGTTCCAAACACTAAACGTGCTTCAAACTATAAGCTTAATATATACCACATTCATCATGTTGACATATAAAACACTGTGATCTGAATGTGGAAGTCCCAAATCATATATATATATATATGTATATGCATTCAAACATTTTATTTTAAGCAATAAAAACAGTAAGCTTTTGAGATGCGGATTAGGTCTGTAAATTCCCTAGAAATGATATGTGGAAAAATCAAAAAAATAAAAAAACTTTGTTTAGGATTCAGGTACCTTACATGTAATAATAGAACTAAAGACTCTAAAGATTTGAAGTGCAATCCATCCAGTTATTTAGATGTGAATCTTTAAGACAAAATGTGATTTCAGCATACTCCACGACATTGGGTATCTGTACACATTGTTCAACTGAAAAAGAATAAAAACATCAGAGTTTTTTTAAAAACGATCTTCGTGTTTCTGCACAGATATAATGCGATAATCAACAAAGTCTCTACGTGGTTCCTTTTGATACAAGAACTTCACCATTGCATTGCGCATGCGGGAAGACGCGCTGCAGCTGCTGCTGCTGCTCCAGTTTCCTTGAGGATCTGTGGCGAGAGTTGGCGACCATGGTGCTAATGGGTCGAGGGAGAGAGAAAAAGAGAACGGATTTAAGCCTCAAAACACCTGACGGAGACTGCGTAAGTAACCCAGGAGATGGAACCGAAACATGGAAGCACGCTCAAATAACAAATGTCGGTAGAGGCACGCAGAAAAATCGACCGAAGAATCACACCTAATACTCGAAAATCCTGCCCTCATGTCGGTATATCGTCGTCGTCGTCGTATGCAAGGTTACTCTCGTAGGTGTTTTATAAATGCTGGTTGGAATCAACGTGGACTCTAGAACCTCCAATCATGCGACACGTGAAACTCAGTGGCCATTTTTGTTGGATCTACGAGACATTTTGAGTACGTTTTTAGACTAGCAGCAAGGGACCTGAACACCCGCAAGAGATCAATCCACAAATGCCAAAGGTGAAAGCAATTTCTGTTACCGGAGGTACCTTACGAAAGTAAGATGGCGATTCGTTTTGGAGAAAGGAGGAATTTCTCTGCATAATTTAAAAGGACTCATCAATCTCTTCATAATGGGGCATGGAGGGATCTTGGTCTCGATCCTCATTGAGGAATCGGATTATTTTTCTTTTTTAATTTATCCCTCGCCTCTCTCAAAAATAGGAGACTAGTATCTGCGGTGCTCTTCCTAGATAATGTGAACAGGGATGTTCATGTTGGAAGTTAAGCAAACAAAAGGAATGAACGTCCAACATGAGCGTTTCCACAAAGTTCCACTGGTTTGAATACTTCAAGTCATCTACATACTTGCAACAATCTTGCTCTCTCCTACAGAATGAGAATGTCCAGTTCCTTGACATTCCTTCACAGCGATGTCCATACGACCAATTCCATGCAGAAGTCCGCTCTGCCAATGGCTTGAGAAACAAATGCGTGATCGATGTGGATCACGCACAACCACCACGATCCATTCACTGCAAAATTAGCCATTCCCGAAGGATCATCATCGGCGGAAAAGTAGTTCGCATAAAATTGGTAGAAGAAAAACAAGAATTTTGCCAAAATTCATGAATACAAGATACTAACAAGCCGCATAATATGAATCAACTTTGAAGGCGGAAATAGTGGTGATATCCCTACGTTGCGATTCCAGAGGAGAATAAGGACAGCTTTTACCTAATGCAAAAGGTCACAAAATGTGGCAACCGCTTCCTGTGGCACTCTCAGGAACCCTGGCGGCCAAATGTGGCGGTAGCTCCACTCCAGGCCAGCCCTTGCACAGACACAAATCCTTGTCCTTATCGGGAATTGTGTTGTACACTCCTCGCACGTGCAACCCACACCCAGCCCACGACGTCTTGCCGCAGTGGCTGCATTCCACCGAGTAACACATCCTGGTGCACTCCTCCTCGAAATCTCCTTCTTCCCGGCACCAACAATTGCACACACAGACTGGCAAGGCCTCGCAGAAACCAGGTGCGAGAGATCAATTGACGATGCTCAGACCCGAACCCATCAAATTAATAAAATGATGTAGGCGGAGCAGAGTCACCAACCAGTCCAATTTCCCCGCCCCTGCGGCGTGCCTGGATGCTGCTGCTGCAAAGGAAGGTCCCCCCCCCACCCCCCGCGTCTCCCTCGCGAGACTGACGCTGTGCATATTCTTTGCGTGTCGTGGCTCCTATGCCTCCGTCATCCTCCACGTCAACCTCCACGTCATCTTCCACTGTGGCCTCTTGCTTTTTCTTTACTTTGGTACGTGTGGAGTTGGCTTACCTGTATAGATTGATAATGCCGAGAAACGCGGGGTTTTTTAGTTTTATTTTTATCATATATGTCCAGATTTATTTATTTATTTTTATTTTTATCACGTGTGAATCTCACCACATGTAACTATCCAAAAACATTTGAATCGCAGAGGCCCCATGTCCACAAAATGTACATATTGTGATAACAGCAGTTACAAGAGAGGAATTCATTTATTCTGAACTGTGATAGTTTAAAACCATTTCAATCAAAACCAAGATTTCCCAGTACTATATTCATTGTGATTGACTACAATTATAAAATATTTTCCAAAATTCTATTATTAGAAAAATCAAATCAGATCAAATCCTTTCCATTTTCTTTATAATATATATGTATATATATATATATTTTTTTTTTAACTTAAACAAATTTGAAGGTTTTTTTAAATATTTTATTTTTAATAATGTCTTTATTCATTAACCTTTAAAATTAAGATTATATATAATAAAATTTTAATATTTATTTTTGAGATTTAAAAAAATAATTTTTCGAAGATTAATTCCATTCTAAAAAATTACTTAATTTTTTTTATTATAACTTTTATATGAAATCTGATTTTTTTTAGTGGGTTTTTATTCACTTGAAATTTTTAATTAGTTGACCTTGTTAAAGGTAACCAAGGTTTAAAGAATTAGGTGGAAAAACCCCCTTCAATTGATATTTTTATTAAATGAAATCTTGTGAATTGTTTTGAAAGAGATAGTTTTTCTTATAAGATTTTGCTTAGCTATGGTGATTAGCCATTGAGTAAAATTTTAGGATTTTCTCTATACACACTTGTATTCTTGGATTCTTTCCTTGTAGTATGAAATATAGCTTGATTTAGTTGTTTTTTTCCTCTTTCCTTGAGAGTGTGTTGCTTCTACATCCTTATTTAGTTTAGATTGTATACTTAAAGTTGATTTATGCAACTCAATCTCTTGTGTATGATGATCTTTACTTATATAACAATTATGTTTCTAAAATTAAATCCAAAACTTATGTTTTTTTTTTTTTTTTTTTTTTTTTTTAACTTTATTTGAATTAAAAAACTCACAAATTTTTCAAAATTTCCTACTTATGTCTTAATCCAATTACTTGGATGTTCTATGTTACTTAAGTTTTAAATATAAAAAAATATAAATATAAATCTAAATATTTGTAAATTATATATTATGCCTGCCATTAATCTTTAAAAGTTGCCACTATAATACACATGTATGTATGTATAGATATATATATATATATATATATATATGTTTATTAATTATAGTTGTCATATTTTACTTAATTAATAACTACTCAAATTATATTAAAATTTGAATATATAAAATTTAAAAAAAATATTATGTTTAGCTATAAGAGAATAAATATGTATAAATATAAAGTATATATAAATCAACTCTTAGAAAAAAATATAACCTTATTAATTAAAATTTAGCTATAAAAACCACCAAAAAAAATTAACTACAATATAATCAAATACTCTTAGGCAATTATCATATTTATACTAAATCTACTACAATTATAGAAAAAAATATGGATACAATTTATTCCTATGAATTAGCTCATATAACTAAGCAATAGAATTGCTATAGGCACTAAATGAGTGAGTGAGTGCATGATTGATTGGTTGATTTTTATTTTTTTCTAATATATTATAGGTGCATATGTATAAAATCTACAATGATGTAGTGATGAAAATGCATTATTTTGTGGAGTAATATAAAAAGCAAAAGAAACACCAAAACAAAGCGTAGGAGAAGGAAGGACAAATACATCAAAAAGAGAAGAAAAGAACAAAGTAGGAACAAAAAAGAAGAGACAAAACCACCAAAAATACAGAAATGATAATCATATTTAGAATCTCTTAAAGTCTACCATCTTATGTTTGCTTGCTGGATATGACATTTAGTAGTTAAGAAATATATGTGTGATAGGGTGGTGGTGGAAATTCCTTATACTGTTGGATGGAGTGGTATGGTTATAGAATGCAAGAGGATCTAGTAACGATACTAATCAGGAAGGCATGGGCTTGATTTTGTGAAGTAGTGAGTGTATTGATATCTTAAAGTAGTAGTAGTTGAGTGGGATAAGGATATCAAGAAGTTTTGGATGGAAGAGAGGAGGTAAAGAGTAGTAAATATTTTATAGCGTATACAAGAGAGAGGATAGATGAAACAATAGTGAACTCTCTTTAAGATATAAAATCCCTCTAATCTACACTAATATAAATTCTCTCACAATATAAGATAGAATAGATTAGAAAAAAATAGAATAATAAAAAAAAAAGGTAGAATAGAAAAAAAAAAAAATTAATTAATTAAATTAAACTTTATTGAGAAAAAGGGACCAAAGCCATACTTGACCAAATATCCAAATGGCTATTGTCAATTTTACTTATACTTTATCAAATCATCTTGGAAATTTTTAGAAAGTCCTTAATGGTGCATCCTATTAAGCTAATTATTCTTTTTAGAATATTTTAGAGGTGGATTATTTTGAAATAATTATTCTAAATCTATTTAGAATATTCTATGATGGATTCCACATAGATTATCAACCTAGTCTTAATTTTAGAAACTTTTCAAAAATGGCTCTAAGTATTTATTTCTATACACCAACAATACAAATTCCCCATTATAGTTAATTCCTCTCTATTAATGTAAAACGTCCTTACTTTGCTCCCGATGATGTTTCCAAATTGTCTCTTAACAATGGATGAGCTTTTGTATAAGTTTTCACATTGTATTGTGGATGAGATAACATATCTAGAGGACTTTGTATTAAAGTTACAAAAGGTCTTATGTTGTTGGTGGTTATCCGCATACTCCTTCTCTTAATTTCTTGCGGTAAAGAGGTAGTACCATACATCTTACAAGGCTATTATAAGCCATTATATAAACTCTTTTATTGTTAAGTTGTTGGTATTGATAGAATGATAGAAAGTTACTAGCATAATTTGATGTTAACTGGTATTAAGAAAAAATTGTGAATGATTAATACTTGCTTGAATACAAACATTGTAAATAAATTCCAAGGATATTAAATATTCACCCCAATTATTATGATGAATCGCCAAAAATGCCATAGCATATCTTCTAAGGTCTAATTTGCATGCTTCATTTGTCAATCTATTTGATAATAGAAGGTCGTAGATATAGCAAATCATGTACCTAATAGCTTGAATAAAGCCAGCCAAAAATTCCGTGTCAAGTACCAATCTCAATTTGAAATAATGATATGAGATAATCTATAGTGATGAAAGATAATATCAAAGAAGATCAATCCAAATATTGAGGCATCAATATTGAAGGGCACTACAACCACGTGAAAATGATTTAAGAATCAATATTCAAAGAGAATAATTTTGGTGTGATTGTAAAGCATCTACAAAAAATACATAATGAGATCTATAGTTACCTACTTATATTATACCATATATAGTAGAATTAATTGCAATAGCCTAAGAGATGCCATGTTGCGAGCTTTGTTACATTGGCATAATTTATAAGAGTGCACAAAAACTTGAACTTCATGATCCAAATCTATCTAAAATCATGTCCATAAGATCCATTCTAGAGTCTTTTTATGCCCTAGATGTCTAGATATTGGAATATTGTGTCCTTTTTGTAGTATGTATGTCTAAAGTATAGTTTTCTTAGGTATATAAATTTGCATTTTTGAAATAAATCAAGTCGTGACTGAGATGATAATTTTGATACTATACATTGTTCACTTTTAATTGATTGATAACCATCTTAAAATAAGCACCTTGATGTATAATTTACTTCTATTCCACTCCTTTGATTAGATTTGAAATGATACTACTAATAATAGTAACTTCTATATTGTATTCCAATTTGGATGTTAGATTTGATCTCTATAATAAGGTGACTTGCATAGTATGTTGTTTTTCTTGCTTGTATTTAAGTTGAATGTCAAAGAGCTGTAATTTTTCTTTTCAATGATAATGTCATGATTTCATATTTTTAAGATGAAAATTATGTAATAAGGGCCAATGGTCAATCCAAACAATCATTAGCTTCTTCAATAGATAGTGTTGTCATATCTTTGTTCCATGTACAATTATATCAATAGCAAAATCAAAAACATCAATGTCAAGTGTATAGAGAAGGTTGGATTCATACACTTACAATATTGAAGCAATAATAAGTACCTCCTTTAACTTATTGAAGGCACTTTGCTGTTCTAGTTTCTGTTCAAATAAAACATTTTTTTTCAATAAGCTTGTTAATAAGGTAACAATGTATGCAAATGTCAAATGAAATAGCAATAATATCTAGTAAGGCCTAAAAATGAGCAGACTTTAAAAGCATCTTTAGAGATTGGCCAATCTTCCTTCACTTTTATCTTATTTTGCTCTATGTATATACTTTAAAAAGATACTACATGCCTCAAAAATATGACCTCTAACTACCAAAGTTACACTTTAATTACTTATAATAGAAATGACTATTTTGTAGCTATCATAATATTATTTATAGATGTTGTTTATGCTCTATAAGGATTTTATTAAAAATTAGAATATCATTGATGAAGAAAACTACATATGTATCCCAAAAGGTCTTGAAACAATTTGTTCATATAACTTATGAAAGAAGCTAGAGCATTGATGAGACCAAAAGGTAAACAAGCCATTCAAAATGTTCATAGTGCATATAAAATGCCATCTTTTGTATAACTTGTTTTACAATAGGTATCTACTAATAAGTACTTTAAAAGTCTAATTTGCTAAAATGATTATATCATGAAGTTGGCCGAGAAGATCACCTAT